GCCTGTACTAACAAACGTGGTTGTAAATGTGTGCTCTCATTAGCTTGTTAGCTGTCACTTTGCCTTTTTTTGCACCACAACCACGGTACATAATTCTTGGCTTGTTAGGAACATGTCATTCTCAATGAAGTCGCCGTTTCTATGGCTGAACAGTTGTCTGGCAACAAGCACACAAAGACAGGTCAGCGAGAGCACTTGTGCTGTGTTCTACCTTTCATTCAGACTCAAAATGAGTGATCACAGACTGAATTGTGGGTGAAGGATATTTTATAAGGCTTATTAATTCTCCTGGCCGTAATGAAGAACTGTCACCTCAGCAACAACCTTCCTGTGATTGTTTTTTACCTTGGCTGTGAGATAGTTGTCTCAGTATTTAGTGGACTGCTACATGCATAGATATCAGTCACATTTAGTTTGAGAAGGATTACAACAATACATATTGCCATATGTGTGAAACTCTGTGAGACTCTCAACCCGAAGCCCCAAAGCCTTTCCGGGATTTGGGAGATTTTTATCTCATTGGTACGCTGGGGTACACTGGAGTCCACATGCTGCAGTCTTTTTCTCTCACTGTCTTGTGTGTCATTGTCGCTGTTGTTCTCTCTATCTTCATACATTTTCCATGACTAAATCATAAGTCTGAGTAGTTAATAAAAGGCACACAAAAAAACTTCCTTTCTGAGATCCTTTATTTTTCAATTGAACATGGACAACATCATTTTTATCTGTCTGTCTGTGCCTATAATTATAGATCATAATACATATATATTTAAAGAATAAGGCTAGTGTCAATTTGTCATGTTGTCACTAAATCCGATGAACAGACCAAAAACAGCCATGCATTGTGTCAACTTTACTACTGCCCTCTCTATGTCTCTTAGCCCCAACCCCATTCAGTCCCACTGAAGACATAAGGTTTTTAAGTTTGGTCAAACGTATATAGTTTTATTTTTAAAGATCCCCTCCAGACATATATTAAGACATATTCAAATATGTGTGTGCGTGGAACAGTAATACGTGTGATATGTTTTTTTCCACAAAAAAATTTCATTTTCACATTAAAATAAATTAAAAAGGCATATACTGCTTGTACCTCCTTACAAATTCCAGAATGTATGAATATGCATAATTTCTTTGTTTCTAACATTTTGCTGTTGAACACGAGATGTCTCCTAATTCACTACATGTGCACTGGTGGCTTCAGGTTTCTACATCACATTAAGTTGCATACTGGACCAGGGTTGATTTCCAAACTATTTGTGATGTCACAGAATATGCTTGTAGTCCCCGCCCCTTAAAATCTGATTTCTAATGTGCACAGATAAACTTTCCACTTTCAGCAGATGAATGTGAAAACATCCTTCTAGTGTCACACTCTGCACATCCGTCATTCTGCACAGTGAAGCTCAAACACCCAACTGTAGGAACAAGAAGAAAAACATATTTTTAAGTGGAGGGGAACTTTAACAAAAGCTAAGTCATTTCCTAAAACAGCTGGGTACCACAGTTTCTTTTAGCAAGTATGACTTTGTTCAGCCGTGGATTGATGCACATCAGCTCACCTCAAAATAAACTGTTGTGGCCATTTCATGCAGGATAGGGCTGAAAGTTCATTCAACCTACCCTGTGCAAACAAAAGTGAAATAAATAAAAAACAGTGTAGTCCCGGCCTCTTCTTGCCTTTATCCCTCAGGCAGGTGTCGTCAGGCTTGTTAACATCTGTCTTGTTCTGCTGTCCACTCTGCCACTGACTTTTGTCTGACTACTCTACCAATTTGGGCCTAAAGCCAGGTGCATGTGAGTAAGACACAGAGAAAGAAAGAAAATAGATAGAAAGCTCGCAGTAAACCTCTCTGTCCTCTACTGAGCAAATGGACATAGACAACAGCTGTCCAGTTGTCCAGTTGAAAGATCTGATTCAAGGAAACATCCTTTGAGTTCCTGCGGTATTCATACAAAATGTATGAGGAGAAAATATTATATTCCCTAGACAATTTGGCTGTGGGACCACTAAATGAAAGTGTTTATTTTGTGTTAATCTTATTGGACCTCAAATCTGAATTGATTTTTACGTAAAACGGGAAAGGTCAGATAGTTTCATGATGTCGCTACCACTTATGTGTCACACTAACAAAACAACTTCATATCCATAGTGCCTCAGGCTTTGGAGCAGCCAATTGAATTGAAGGAAACAACACAACAGCAGCCAGCTCTCTCGGAAGCAATAAACTCCTAATCATTGAGGGATAAAAAAAATAACCTGGGCCTGATGGAACCGGAGGCAAACTACCTGTGTGTCTGTGTGTGTGTGTGTGTGTGTGTGTGTGTGTGTGTGTGTGTAAGCTAGAATAAAAGTATGTGTGTTACTCTAGTGGGCCTCAAACCACTGACTCGAACCAACACCCACTTTTGGCCAGCTGAATGAAAACAATATCAGAACCTTATATGTCACTGGGTGGTCCAGGCATGATGTAACGTGATGAAACAACCCTGCTGGCTGCCCGTTGCCATTTTGCTCTGCGATTGGTACTTTTTATTATTTCCGTCTTGGATATTGATTTTCTCTCCTCTCTGTTGAACTTGTGGGGCTGGCGAGCAGGCTTCTGCTTCTTCCTGCTGCTCCCTGTCAACACTATTTCATGGAGGACGTGCTCGTATTCACACACAGACAACAAATACCGTAGGGTGCACATGCAAGCACACATCTAAATACACACCAATTCTATTCTATACCTCTCCTTGGAGCTCACAAAGCTGTGAAATAGGCTACACAGATGCACGTGCAGTATTTCAAGTGCTTATGTGTTATGGCTGATGTGACGGCAGTGAGAGTGTTGAGCTCCATCGAGCCTTGTGACCCTGTGATGACCCATTTTGTAGCAGAAAATAGAGTCTTTTTTTCCCCCCATTTTGTTTTGTAGAAATGCAGCTATCCAATCACACTGTGTTGTGATTAAAAGCTGCAGAAAAGCTAGCGAATGCGTTTTCACACAATGCGTGAATTCGTGATTGTTGAAGACTTTGACTTGCGGTTTGTAGTGTTTTGTAATGGCTTCCTACTTCCTGTATCCTCGTCCTGTGGGAGCCTGGAGTCGAGGCTAGTCAGACCTCTCTCACAGAGGCCATTTTGGGATGTCAGAGTAGGAAAATCACAGGTCTAAATGATAAAATTAGTGATGGCCGAATTCCATTTAGCTGCTTCAGTTTAAGGGTCCTGGTATTATGCATGCCTGCTCACTGTTACACTGTCATGGCTTACTGGGACACTTGAATACAGCGGAGCTATAGTTAATGTTGTTAGCAACACAGGCTTTTCCAGCCATGACTATGAGTTCAAATGTCCGATTCTGCTCGCCTGCTCACTGCATGCTGCTTCAACTTTTGGGGTTGTTTGGTTACATTTAGTTTCAACAACAATGGAGCATGTATTCAACTCATTTGTGCATCACTGACACCTCTGATGTTGCGTTAAGCAGTGGTTCCCAACCTTTTTTTCTCTCTAACGTACCCCCACAGCCTTGTCTGATGAACTACTAAAGTACCCCTTCATCGACACCATCCATTACGTTCTAAACATGCTAATTTGAATCGATTTTACATTTGCACTGGAGTGGTAGAAACCTGACATTCAGTCATTTATCCATTACTTTTAGCTTTTTCACAATTTTTTTTCAAAGGCTTTTAGCTAACCATTTGAAATGTTTATTCAGCACATAAAGTAATCTATAGCATTTTATCCACTACTTTCACCATTTTTTCCAATACTTTCAGCTAACAATTTATACCATTTATCAATTACTCTTAGGCATCTATTTAACAATTTAAACATTACTATTAGAAATTATGGATAATAGTTTAATTAGATACCCAGCTCAACCATTTATCCACTTCTCTGCTTGCTCAATGTAACACAAGCGTTCAGGTGCTACAGCTGACTCAGTAAGTGGATATATACACACAAATTAGTTTAATATCCCTTGGCAACTGCAGAAGTTCCCCCTGGGGTACATGTGCCCCTTGTTGGGAGTCACTGGTGTGAAGACATCTATACATTTGTTTAACTTTTTTAAATGTAGGTTTTCAGTTGTTTTTTGGGGGGGGGGTAAAAGTTACATTGCGTATGTGGTCTCCACTTTAGACTGTGACAGCCAGGTGACTTGAGGACAATCACTGTAAAATAATGACACAATGCTGAAGCCTTGGGTGACCTGCTGAGCTGCTCCCTGCTGCCTGCTGCCGCTCAGCATGATGTCGCACTGTGTCCTTGTTTGTTGTTCTTTTGTATGTGCACCTCATGCGTGCTTCTGTGTTAATGTTCCGGAGTAGCATACAACATAAAATGACAAAATTAAAACAGAATCCAAAACAGTAACTGTGTGTGTGTGTGTGTGTGTATGTGTGTGTGTGTGTGTGTGTGTGTATACACACGTGGAGCCATTTGCATGAGCCTGAGGAGGGTGTTTATATTTGTATTCTCAACCCGAGGGTTGGAAAATGACCTGTCTCCTGTGATTATATCCTGGGTAACCAGAAGTGACGTGGTAATTGTGAAATCTATTTAAAAGAATTGTAGCTTCTCTCGTTCGTTCTCTCTCTTCCTCACTCTCTCTCTCTTTTTTTTCTCTTTCCGTGCTTGTCTCTGTTTTCAGGTCATTACTAGATCTTCCTTTTTACACCTACCCACCTTATTCCTACGGCTCTGTTCTTGCTCTGCCCACGGTCTATTTTCTCAGTTTTTTTGTTTGCTGAATTCACTTACACCTCAGTGCCTCACATTTCTCATTCTCTGTTCATGTGCCACACTATTGTTTTCTGTTTCCTCTTCTCTCCCTGGTTAAGTGTGTTTATACAAAGCCCCAGCATCAGATCGATCCTGGGATGTTGCTAAGATCAATAACACAGAGAGTGTCACAGTTAAGCTTATACTTTTCACATGTTGGCATTTGGTTTTCTGTTCTCACTCAATCCCTTTTTCTCTCACTCTCTGCTTTCACACACAGTGGCGTCCATTCCTCCCTGGTCTGAAATATGAAGTGATAGACTCAGCCTACATCTCCCTGTACACAGGTAAGACCTATTCTGCCCTGTTTATATATTGCATGGAATGTCTTGAAAGAAAAATATATTTCTTAAGAAATTTTAAAATGGACTTTAAATATTTCTGGTGTTTGTAGCTAAGATGCAATGGATGTGGTTCTTTATCTTATCTATTTCCAGTTTTTTTGTTTAGCATAGAGCTTGCCAAATAGAAAGAGGAAACGATGCTATAAAAAACTACTTCATTAGTCTAGTCTGGTATCGACCAGTAGTTTAATGTCACAGAATCAGCCTTTTTTGAACCAAGATGTGCTCCTCTCTTGTCTCTCAAACAAACTCACATTCTGTTTGGATCTTTATATTGGCTTAAAATTGACATTTTATTTCATATTTATTTATTCTTTCTCATAAAAAATCTGCAGATTGGCGCTTGGCATATCTTCTGGGGCCAAAGAGAAGCTACAGACTCTAATAGTTGCTCTATTTTTCTATAGGTGTCATTCATTGCAGAGAGTGTCTAACCTCTATAGCTCCAAGAATAGCAGTGTGTAACAGGGATTCAGTATCGTTAACAAGGGAAAATGCCTGCTGCACAGAAATGATGTGTGGAGTTGTCATTTTGGGCAAAGCTGTGAGTTTGCTGGAGATGTATGCCTTCTTGTTTATGACCAGCGATGACAGGGAAGAAGGAGGCCTTGTACAGTATATGAGGTCACCTGCTGGATTCAAACATTACCATCTCCTCATCTGTCTCCCTCCACCCACCCATCCCTATGCCTCCCTTTATGTCATGCTCTCAACAACTTGACTTTCACAGAGTTGTAGCCAGGCTAAGAGATGGGTGGCTCAGCAACCAGTGTCAAAGTGTTCAAATGCTATACATTTATACATATTTTGATGTGAGAGTGCCCGAGAAGGGATCCTGAATAATCTTTTCAGATCATATTTAGTTTCTGGAAAACCAGGAATAATTTAGCTGAACTAGTAGAGTGCAGTTGTTCCTCTGTCTGTGTAAGCACTTTACAATTAATAACTTATCTTGCAGATTTTTAAGTGGTTATTGAATATTTCCAGAATGCAGTATCTCATCTGAATGGCTTTCTCAACATCCATCTTCATGGTCAAAAATCCTGCTGACCAAAAACAGTTGAACTGTGTATTATTACATTTTTCCAAATGAAATCATCATTTGTGTCAGGGTAATTGTTCATGGTGCGTTACATAACAGTTTGATGTGTTAATTAATTTCATTTAAATTACATTTACTGTATTTTAATGCAGGGCAGTTCATACAGCTCCAGAATAATTTCTCATTCAAGCCAAATATTGGTGTGATAGTACTTTTTCAGAACAGTGAAAATACACATAAAAGTGCAACCCAGATGGTAGCTGTTAATGAATTCACACACACATACACTCTGGCATTTCCTACAGAGACCAGGAAATTCAAATAGCCACATGGATGAGGTCTCAATAGCTGTGCTGTGATTGTATTTTTTATTACACCCCAACTGCATTATGATAGAAATTAATCCAAAGAAAGAGGAGAGTTCCATTGTTTTCTTTGTTTGCTGGCTTGTTTTGAGGATTTCAGTAACATAGACGATTAATTAGTGTTGGCGAGGCTTGTGTGTAGTTGAAACCAGGTATGTGATCAACAGATGTCTTATTGTTAGAAAAAAGGAAGTCTACAACAAGGCTTTCTCTGTGTAGCCTCTGCACACAAAGACGCACACACTGAATGTGCACACTCCACCCTCTGGAGGATAAAAATGATGCTGACCACCCTGTTAATTATAAAGCATTTCTCCCATCAGGCCTTGCTCCTGACATGCCATTAATCACACATGCTCTCTCCTCCTTCCCAGCTATCGATTGGTATAATTATGACTCTGCTCTGCTCTGTTTTTGTTTTCTTCCAACTTTTTACTTCTTCCTTTGTTTCTTTCCTCTCTGCCTCTCTTTTTGTCTTTTTTCTCCCTATTCTTTACCTTTTCATAGTCGTTAAAGATTTATAATTATTGCGACACAAATACTGTGTGTAATGTTTTCCTACTGACAGCTAACTTCAAATTTGTCTGACATTTAGATAATCAAAACTGTGAGCGCAAGAATCAACCTTCCTCTTCCTGCCTCACGTTTCTGCCTCACTCAATGCCTCTCTGTCTCTGTATTTTTCAGACGAGTCCAATCTGAAGATGAACAGTGTGGATCACATCCCCCAGACCTTGGCCAGTCACATCCGTCTCCCAGAGGTGTCTCTGCCCCAGGGTCTGGAGAGAGGCAGCATCATGCAGCACGGAGCGGATATGCTGAAGCCGGACCCCAGGGACACCTTTTACAGCAGTAAATCTGCCAGTCATCATTTCAGACTGTCCCCTTTTTCTGTCCTCATCCTGATTTTCTGTCCTGTCATTTTCGCTGAATGACTGATTGACTGTCTGGCTCACAGTCTATCTGGCTGTCACTAGCTGTATTCAGACATATCATTTTGTCTGGCTGGCTGTGTTCCATTTTTTGTGTGTTTTCCTTTGCCTTGATCATCCCCCATCTCCATTTCTGACTTCTACATTTGTTGAAACCAGAATTTCATATACATATTTGTTTGTACCTGACCCCATTCTCTTTTTCCTCTCTTCTCAGCTCCTATGATCAACCCCTCCCGATTGGAAAATGTTCTTCCGGCCTGTCTCTACTCTCCAACCTATGTAGTGAAAGACTTTCCCATCGCCAGATACCAGGGCCTGCAGTTTGTAAGTCACCTTTCCATCACCTTGTCTCTAGATCACAAATAGACCTGCCACTGAGAATGTGTGATGATGATTCTGTGTGTGATAGACTTGTGGGTCAGAAGTGCATCCAATTATTGCAGTAGTCTTTTACACTGCTAAGAAAATTGCCCCACAGAGTAATATTCAGATCAACTAGACAGATAACACAAAAGCAAAGAAGCTAAGTTAATGCCAGTTTGTACCTCAGGACTGCATCTCTCCCTTAAAACACATAAAGGAAGCAGGTGGCAGGTATTGTTGAGTGCTGCTCCCCCCTTAAGGACAACACAGGTTACTGCAGCAGTTGCAGAGACAAGTGATGAGCTGGAAATGAGAGCCAATCCATTTAAGATCTGCCAGGAATCCCTGTAAGAAATTGCGCAGCATTGTGCAGAGCTGCAGTAAGTTGGTAATTTTAATTCAATCCTGGTGTTAATCGAATCCTCATAAGAGGCTGCTAAATGAGAATGAAACCTTCATCTGTGTTTTCTGGGGGCACTGGATTTTTAATTTGACATTTGACTTTTCTTCAGGTGTATCTATCCTTCGTTTACCCCAATGACTTCACACGTCTCACACACATGGAGCGAGAAAACAAGTGTTTCTACAGAGAGTCCCCTATCTACTTGGAGAAGTAAGGACATTCTTGCTTTTATCTCTTAGAGAGCTAAGGGAACATTTGTCTCTGTCTCCTATATTATGAGCAGTACATTGATTATGCAGACTTCTGTTCAAGTGTGAATTTGATGGCAGTGATTCATGTGACCCCTCACCAAGAGATTAAGTTTAATATGCCGCAAGGCACATTGAAACTTCAGCCTTGTGTTAATGCATGTGGTTGTGTGTGTTTATGTGCCTGCCTCTTTTTGTTGTGTCTGCCAGGTTTGGTTTCTACAAATATATGAAGATGGATGAGGAGGACGATGACAGACCGTTCTTCTTCCCCAACCCAGATGGTAACTAATAATGAACAACCACACGCTCGTGCATGCACACAGTCGCACATGTATACACATATGTACATGCACTCTTTCAACTCTGTGTCTCCCTCATGTCTCCAGATTTTCTAGAGGAAGAGGAGGTGGTGGATACAGAGGACGAGGCAGAGATCGTTGGCACACAGCCGCCCAAGAAGCCCTCTCATCCGAGCCAGACCAGTCACACCTCCAACCCCTCCCATCAGCACTCAAACCCTGTGCCCACACAAGCTGTCAGAGAAGGGGAAGAAGAGGAAGAGGACCCTGATGAAGAGGAGAAAGGAGCAGTCAACAGTATCATAATCCGCAGAGAAAGGAGACACTTTCCTCGCAGAGATGGACAGATTGGTAGGGATCTGGACAAAGACTGGGGAAGAGATCATACAAGAGGAAACATTAGACAGGACATCAGGAAGGGACATGAAGAGCCCCAACCCAGGGTGCTTCAGCCTGACATGGACAGTGGGGTCCGGGGCCGCTCCCTGTCTTGGATCCGCACTGGTCCTGCAGAGCTGGGCCCTGGCAGGAAAGGAGGAGGAACAGGCGGTGGAGGAGGAGAAGAGGGCGCAGAGAAGGGAGCTGAGACTCCACCTAAACTGAGCAAGTCTTCACTGCTATTCCCCCAAAAGTCCTCCCTCTCTGCCCTCGCCAGCCGAGCCAAGCAGATCCTCAGCAACTCTGCCCATAGCGACAACCTCCAAATGAACAACAACAAGCTTGCTGGAAACAAGAAGGAAAAACGAGAGGAGAACAAGATCTACATCACCAGGCCCCGACCTGCCAAGGAGAGGGAGAGGAACAGGGAGAGGGAGAGGGAGCAGCGTCGAGAGAGGAGGGAGGAAAGGGCATCTCGCCACCCTAGGGAGGTGTTCCCAGGGGTCTTTCTGTACCAAACTGGGAAGACCACAAGGCTGGTCAACCTCGGTGCCAAAGGACATACTGGGGGAGGCATAACAGGAGGAAAAAGTCTTGTTAGTTCTCCTCAGCTCTGGCCCATCCCCCCCACAAAAGAAGGTAAGACATCTCCTCAGAATGGAAGCATCGGTATTCAGAATGAAAGTGTACAGAAGCCTGCCATCAGGGCAGCAGGGGCAAAACATCTAGAGAAAAGCAAGAGGAAAGGGGAGCACCGGCATTCAAAGATTAGTCCTGCTGAACTACCCAGCAAAGGAACTCCACTGTCCCATCATCAAGATCCCCCTCTCCCTCCAGTTACCCCACCAAGGTTAAACTCCACAGAAAACACGCTCCAAGGTCAATCACGGGTCACCTCTTACCTCAAGACCTCCGAGATCACTGAGTCCCAGCAGCAGCCAGACCCGGACCCAAACCCAGCAGAATTTGACCAGGATGCAAACCGCTCTAATCCTGACCCGGACCCTGATCCCGAACCAGAACCAGAGGAGGGCGAGATGTCGGACTACAGCTACGAGGAGGTTGAGGCTCGGCCAGGTTGGGCAGAGGAGAGCATCAACTGGCAGAGGACCTTCTCAGTCAATCCGATGGACTTTGAGCTGTTGCGCTCTGACTGGAACGACCTGCGTTGCAATGTGTCTGGCAACCTCCAGCTGGCAGAGAGCGAGGTGGTGGACGTGCTGGCGCAGTACATGGAGAAACTCAATGAACGCAACGGAGGGTAAGGATGAAGGGGAGGGAGTGAGAATAATGTCAGGGTGAAAGAGAGCTTATGTTTCCCTGCAACCCTATAAATACAAATGTGGTTTCTCACGCTAACCATTATGTAAAACAAGAAGTAATTTCACTGAGAACATATTGGTCATGCCCTGGTGCATTGACTCATGTTAGCAGTCCTCTATGTGCTGATTACCGTTTTCTGCAGCAGCACTTATAAACCTTGATGTTATTTTGTAAAGTAGCTTTTCTCCTATATCACACCATGCTGACTTCCCAGTGTCACAGACAATGAGTAGCCGCATTTTTGAGCAATAATTAACCCAGTTGTGAGAATAATATAAGAAACTGTGTTTTATATTTGCATCTTCTCCCTTTCCTTCATATTATATTTCAGAGCATGAACAAACCTGTCTGTGTTTTCTTAAGCTTTTCTTCTGCCTATGCTCCAGGATCTACACCCTGCTGCGAATAATCAACGTGGAGAAGCGGCGTGACTCTGCAAGGGGGAACCGTTATCTGGTGGAGCTGGAGCTAATGGAGAGAGGCCGCAGCGTGGTACGTCTGTCGGAATACATCTACCTGCTGCTCCACCGCAGCAGGCAAGGAGAGGAAAGTCTAGAGAACACTGACTCTGCCCCGGCCTCTGCACCGGCTTCTGCCCCATCCGCTGCTACGTCCAGCCACGCCACCCCACCGCTTCCTCCCTCGACCAGGTCCCTCGCCCGACCCGGAGCGACCCCCTGGAGCACCGCCTATGCTAAGCCTCTGCTCTGCCAGCCGGTCATGCTGCAGTGGAGGAAAGATGTCATGGTGCACTTTGTGGTGCCAGGTCAGTCAAAAAAAAGGGGCACTAACTTTCATAACAGAATAATCTGTATAGAACCAATTGTTAAACTAATATTATTCTGATTTAATTTTAAACCTAAAATATTACTTTAATAATTTACAGACAGAGTAAGGATGCTTGGTGAGAAAAGTACTTGTTATTTATAAGGACATATGAATGGCTTTATTTTACAGTCCTGTTTGTGTACTTCTGCACTGTGTTATTGATACTTTTACATAAAAAATCTGAGTACTTCTTCCACCACTGGAGACGACAGTCATGTTTACTGATGCTGCTGCAATGTATGACTGTGCTCCAGCAGCCTCCCACTCAAACTATCCATCAGTAGTAACTGTAACCAGCATCATTTATGGTTACATTGATAGTGAATATTATCTTATGTTCCTTAAATTTCACTGTGAAAGCTTTGGTTATTAATACTTTTCTTTGTAGTTTCACTGTAGTTTCTCATGTTAACATATGTGAAAGGGCCATTCTTTCCCCCAAAAGGGAGTGATTAGCAATTGGTGCTTGATTATGAGATGCCGGTCTGGTCTACAAATATACACCATAAAAATAAATGATTGATTTCTTTCTTTTTTTCCCCTAACTTACTGTCCATCAGTGAAAAACCAGGCTCGCTGGGTACAGCAGTTTATCTCTGACATGGAGAATCTTCATCGGCAGACAAAGGACGACAATTTTAGCATCATCATTGTCGACTTTGAGAGTGAAGACATGGACGTGGAGCAGGCCCTTAGAGAGAGCGGTGTGCCAAGGTGTGTGCATGCGACACAATCAGTCATGTAATATGACCTATTGTCAAGGCTTCCAAGTGATGTGCGTGTGTATATTTTTCTTTTGGCAGATATGAGTATCTAAGGAGAGAAGGGAACTTTGAGCGCTCAGCAGGACTGCAGATCGGAGTGGACACTATTGAGGTTAGAGAACCAAACACACAGAGGCAAGACAACAATATGTGAGCTGGCAGGAAAAAAGCCACTCATTGAAGGTCAGCCACTCACACTGACCACATGACCTTTACTTGGCTGATAGACAGACAGAAAGAACACTCATGCATAATGAATACATCAGCTAGGCCGGTCTGTCATGGGCGGTGGATCTCGCCCTTATCTCTGAGCCTCCTCCTGCTTCCCTTCGTCCTCTCCCGCAGAGCCCAGCTGTGGGCGACGAGGAATCGCTTAGACAGTTAGCTGCATTTCCGCTGTCATGTGTATGCCATGGCTGTCACATCCATTCCCTTTCACAGGTTATTTGTGTGCATGTGCCCTTAACGCCACTCTCTGGCTGTCTCTTTATCACACACGCATGCACACCCACCCACGGGGGCGTGGTGCGGCTGGAAATTTGGACAGACGTTGATCCGTCAGTTGAGTGTCAGTGCTGTCACGGGGGGATGACAGGGCTGTCACTCATGTCTGAATGACCTGCAGGCTCTGGAAGTAAAGACAAGCCTCTGCTGCTGAGCCCAGTCTTCTTCACTTTCTTTAATCCCAAAATCTCATATTACGCGTATGTGAACATCTACTCGCATGCACAAAATTTTGCACCAGCTCCTACACAGAATTGTCAAGCAGATTCAGACAAAGGAAAGATTTAGAAATTATTTAGATCTGATGAATGCATCTTTGTTTGTGTTTCCTCTTGCAGGATAGTCACAGCATTGTATTCCTGTGTGATCTGCACATCCACTTCCCTCTCAACATCTTGGAAAGCATCAGGAAGCACTGTGTGGAGGGACGGCTCGCTTTTGCTCCCATTGTCATGAGACTCGGCTGCGGTAGTTCACCACAGGAGCCTGATGGTAAGACACACACATTACAATAATCATACTTGTATTAACATAGTTTTCAAGTTTTTAGTTTGTCACTCAGACTCATTCCCCAGTTACAGACAGCTACTTTGAATTCCTAATACAAGTTTTCAATTTACATGCATAATAAACACACTTGCATCAGAAGTACATACTTGTGCTGTATAAGCTTTAGACTTTCCTTTTATCATAATCACTGTTGATGCAATGGGAGCAATAGTTCCTTTTAACAGTCTTTTTGCTCTTTCGTAGGTTACTGGGAGGTAAACGGCTTCGGCCTGTTTGGTATATATAAGTCTGATTTTGATAAGATTGGAGGGATGAACACAGAGGAATTCAAAGACCGCTGGGGTGGAGAAGACTGGGAGCTGCTGGACAGGTAACCCAGCAACAACCCAACAAAATAACCCTGCAATGAATACTCGTAGTAGAAAATGAATTTTTGTTGAGACCTGCATGTCTTTTTGGTTTACAAAAGGTAGATTTGGTTTAAATCATCATCATCTTTCAAAATCTGAGCGAATAAAACCAAAACTACTTGCATGTCTAGATAGAAGGAAGAAGAAAAAGTTGTAGAAGAATCAGAAACAGAAAACAGTGACTAGGATTGTTAACCCAGTATTTTTTCCTAGATTAATTTGTTAATTCCCTTGTAATGTAACCCAGCATTATGAAAGGAACCCTGTTTTAACCCTGTGTTTCTCCTTCCCTCCCCCTTTAGGGTACTTCAGAATGGTTTGGAGGTGGAGAGACTACGCTTGAGGAACTTCTTTCATTACTACCACTCCAAACGGGGCATGTGGAACGCCCAAAACAAGAAAAAGGGATAGCGCCCCCTGCTGGTCGGACGATTCTGAACATACCTGCAGATCCACTGTGTGTGAGAGAGACCTGTATGAGCTCGCTCACTGCCTGAACTGCCTTTTTGTTTTTTTTTAAACAGGCTCTGTTCAGGGACGCCTCTGTATTGCCATCGGCCCTTCTTGTATGCTTGTCTGTGTGAGGAAACCAGGAAATGAGTCCAAATCTAAACTTTGGGAGCGAGCCGTTTAGGCAGACAGACCTGAGTCATCACTTTGCCTCACTGACTGAACTACTGTACAGAGAGAAGATATTAGTTATTTTTGTTCTCCTTCTCTCTGTCCTTTTTTGGTGCAATGTTTTCAAACAGACTGGAAAGCAGCTGTTTTTGTGTGTGTGGGTGTGTTTGCGTGGGATGCGTGGGATATGTATATATATTAGTGTACATGGGTGTGTTGCCGCTTGTGTGTGCTTATGATTACAGGAAGCACCTTTTTTCTAACAAGGAGATGTGAAGACAACCTAAGATCTTTTTTCTAACACGCTCTCACATGGGAGCTTATAGAATGTGTGTCAACATGTTATTCAGATAGATTCAGACATGGTGGTGTAGCTCGAGTAGAGGAACTCTGTCTTTGGTAAACATTTGTATTTCTAAATACATCTACTACTACCTGTTGGATATCATTAATGAGTATGATTGAGGTGCTGAAGTTCTCCTGATACCTGATAGTATGAAACAAGGAAGGTTTTTGAATAAGAAAGCCCATTTCCAAACAGATACGTCATCTTTATATCTTTTTTTGACCCTCTCTCGTCCCTCTGTATATTTTTTATCTTCATCTCATTTCTGCCTTTATCCATTTTAATGTCTAATTTTTATCTGTTCAAACATTATTTATAGCAGTACTGCTGTTTTGTTTTACCTACTACCCCCACATTAATGCTACCTATCAGTTATGACTTGATTCCTTTTGTTTCATTAACTAAAGTTTAACTGAAGCAGTTGTCCAGTTAGTTATTTAAAATGGCTTTTCATTTGTCCTGACTGATTATGGCTGCACTAACATTTGGGGTGCTATTTTATGTTCTAAAACACTGAATTTGTGAACCGTTTACACCTATCAACTCTACTGACGGTATCCTCCGTTCCCTCCAGATCTCTAACCTCATTGTCAACTAGAACATAAAACTCTTAACAGGAGGGGAACAGAGGAAAACAACAGCTTTTTGACATTTGATTTAACATTGTCACACAATTTTTTAAGGCATTTTATGAGCTGAGAATTGCATTTCAACTATTGGATTTGTGGGATTAAAACTCAATCTCTCGTATTAAAATACCACAGAGACAGGGAATGCTTAGCTATTGAAAACATCAACACTATTTTAAGCTTGTATAAAGCTACATCAGAAGGGAGACCAGTTCATGTTTTGGACACGATGTGGTGAGACATGGCTGTTTCACAAATGTGTGCCTTTATCAGGGTTTGGCTGCAGGCAGTTTTTAAACTACTCCAATGACAGAAGAGGGCAGGGACAGACAGAAATACATCGTTATTTATCAGCAGGCTGTAATGTCACTGTAAATTCAGATACACTGTAAAAGAAAGAAATATGGTTCTTGTCAATGGATTACAGACATGTCAGTGTTTGTTATATTACCTTAGAAGCAGGAAGGAGTGGTCTTTACAAGCCAGTTGCCCCATCTTGTGAGACAGGACAAAGATGGTACTAATGACGACTGAGTGAAATCAGGAGGTGTGAAGGAGACTCACTGGCAGCTGCAGTCCAGCAGGACCCCACCTCCTCCCATTACTTTGACTGGAGGCCGGGCTCCTAATGCCTCTGTTTATGCAACATGGTACTTATATTGATGGGGAGTGGCTGGAGGGCTCAAGGCTGGACATATATATGGCTGAGAGTTAATGATCTGTTATTGACTATATGATTGTCAAAATGCCCTCCAAGACCCTTTCTTTGCCTCTACAGGAAAAAGGTCTATACTGTACGTCATTTAACACTGACATGGGACTATTTAAAGAACAAAAGAAACACATTAAATATAAGACTATATATAAGAAACATAAAAATGAAAAATAGGAATATACATTCCAAGGTAATTTCTGTGAAATTGTTTTGTAGGGAAAAGGTTTTAAGAATGTATTGTACTTTTATTTTGAATTGTTGGGTTTTTGCAAATAAAATTTTATGCTTATGTCCAGATAATTTTTCAGAAGTGTATTTTTTTTTTTTTTTATGTTTGTTTTCTTTATTGTTGTCTCTTCGTAAGATTTGTCAAAATATCAACTACAACTAGTAAGAGTATAGAGAAGTAAAAAGTAAAAACTATTCCCTATTTAACCACATGGTGGTGCTCCACCCACATATACATACCTGCAGAGGTGGTTGGATGGCTAACATATTTTGAGCAGTGGCAGGCTGATTCAGTGTAGGAGGAAAAGACACAATATAAATTAGTCGACGTGTTAAAACCAAAAATCCCCCTCCTACACACATGAATACTCTCACTTCCTATGTGCAAACAGTTTAACTGTTCTTGACCATATACAAGTACATGGTTCATTATGATCATGTCAGGTGACACGATGAGGCTTTTTATATCCCAGCAATGGGTTGTTTCGGGCTCAGAGAGGTACTAAAAATCCCAAAACTTCCCTACACAGCCTAAAAGAACTGAATGTAACTCAAAATTACCTGTGAAAATGTCTTGAGCTATGTAATATATATATATATATATGGATATATATATTCAGCTAGATTACGAAACATTCATGCTCTCATGCTGTTTTATTACTGGCTATAAATGAGTAAATATGATATCATGTTAAAACCCTCTGCAACCCTCACTCTGTTACTCTCTGAGGCTGACATCACTACCCAGTTACCCACGCTAAGTTAAATTGATCTAATATCACATTCATTGTGTTTTATGACCAATGCAGAGAGAAAAGCAAGCATTAAGAAACTGACATTTTTCAATTCCAACAAAGCTGATGTGTTTTTGTGACCACATGTAATCATTTGCAGAGTGTTTTGTTGTGAGTTGTTGATCCCCCCACATGTGTGAATGGGCTCTGGGTGGTGGGCTGGCTTGATGTCTGCCCCTGAGCATGTACGCACACAGAGAGACCATGAGGTAAGTTCTGTCCTAACAACCGCTACATGAGGTCTGGATGAGGAAAGTGCTAACCTCCTGTGATCTCCTCTACGCCCTGTGTGTCTTCTAATCTCATTTACAGTGGCATTGACTAACACTGCAAAACTGGGGAGTTTTAAGTAGACTGAAAGGTTGACTCCCTATGCAGTCAACCTTATGTGATTCATAGACTGTGACGTGTGTGTATGTATGTATGTGTGTGTGTGTGTGTGTGTGTGTGTGTGTGTGTGTGTGTGTGTGTGTGTATGTGTGTGTGTGTGTGTGTGTGTGTGTTCGCCAGTTTTTCCACTTTAGGTACAGGCATAGTAGAGTTCAATTCAATTTTATTTGTATAGCGCCAATTCATAACAGAAGTTATCTCAGGACACTTTTCAAATAGAGCAGGTCTAGACCGAACTCTTTAAAACATATAGTATGTTCTCTAACATCCAGGTCTGTATATGTGTAAGAAAAAACATTCATTATAGCCACTTTCACAATGTGTTGCATTATCACAAGCATGTGGGGTAATTGCCCTAAACCCTTTATGTAATAGTGTTGGACTCTGTCCCAGTGGAGACACACCCTACCTGTCTATATGAGTGCAGAGTGATGAGAAGCAGGTAGTCACAGGCCTCTTCAACATGTTTGCTTTTTTAAATTTTTTTTTTACCTCAAGCATGTTACAGCACCTAACCAGAAACAACAAACAGGGGCCACATGATGATCCCAAACTGCAGTTTCGTAAGAGGATTTGCTCAAACTTTGTTTTGAAAGCTAGAAATGTCACTTTTTTTGTTTACTTTTACCTCTGCTGAACTAGTACTGAATGATCACCAAGTACTGGACTGGGTACAAACCATACAAGCCAGCACAGTACAGTCGAAATTAAAACGAAAATGAGAATTTGCATAACAGGCCAACATACACATAAACTATTACAACACTTCTGTCTTCCTTGCAATCCCAAATAAGCTTTTAAAATGCACTTTCAGTGAAAATCCTAAGCCTCATCAAATCAAAGTAAACACTGCCCCACCTCTTACATGATTACCAAGGGCTTAACAGATTCAATTTCTGTTACAGGCTGCAGGGGAGAGATTAGCTAATGTGTAGACAGCAAGCCATGTTCCCCAGAGTCAACACCTAAAGTCTGCCTGGTGTGCAGTTTGGTTCCAGGTAACTAACCAGAAGAATTTCCCCAGACCCATTCATGTAATATTTAATGGGATTTATTGTCGTGGAGTAGTTAGTGAAAGGTGGCAGCCGTTAATTAGATTATACATTATCATATTTAATCGCATTTTGTGGTAGAATGGTGATACGAAATAAACAAAAGACTGTGAAACAGTTGAAGTAATGTGAATTAAGGACTCTATGTGGTTGTGTGAAACGTTTATAAATCGAGCATTAAAGCTAATACAGCCATATGTAGCGAACACATGTGAAGGGAGTTTGTTTGATTCTTCATTTGAGGCGAAACAAAGTTGCAAAGACTCGGAGCGAGTGCTGATTGGCTGCCACAAAAGTCGGCCCTCTCCTGATTGGTCGCTCGAGTCGCTTCTGTGTTGTCATTCAGCAACGGTCCCTCCTCTCACACATCTGTGGCTGGGACTCTCCGACAGGCAGTTTCTGACCGAGCACCGGGACGGGAGGGTGATGAGGTAGACTCGGACTTTTTTACTCGGTTATCTACGAAAACGAAACAGTCGAGCGGCTTCGCGGGGACATGTTTTTTTACTAAATGAACTCGGGTCTGGCTGTATTCAGAGAGAGAGAGAGGGGAGACATTTCGTCGTGTTTTAAAAGACTGTGGATACTGGAGGAAAGTTTAAAGCCCTGCGCTGTCCGGGGGGAAAGGTGAGACGGGTGCGACTCTGACTTTCTCCGGCTGACCCGTTTGTTAACGACAGTATAAGGTGGCTTTCATTAAAAAAAAAAACACTTATAGGATTTTATCTACTCGTTCAGTTGTGTTGTTTCGCTTTCCAGCACCTCCATTTAGCAGCATGTCTGACAAGTGTCGCGCTGTGTAACCAGTTCATCCAGCTCGGCGGAGTTTCGACTGCTGCTGCTTGACTTCCAGACTGACTTCCAGGTAAACGGCTGGCGAGGTCCGAAACTCTTCCAAAGCACCCCAGGAAAAAAAAAAAAAAAAAGCCGTTTAACAATAATGGCTGGTTTGAGCAATGTCCACATGAAGACCCTGGAGGACCTGACTCTGGACTCTGGCTACGGGGCGGGGGACTCCTGTAAATCCCTCAGCCTGTCCTCCTCCAAGTCAAACTCCCAGGCTTTCATGACGGCCCCTCACCGGGGCAACTGGTGGTACTACTCCGGCTCCATGAATAGCAGGAACAACAGCTGGGACACGGTCAACACTGTCCTCCCCGAAGACCCGGAGGACATCTTCTCCAAGTGCCCCCGCTTACCTGAGTTGGAAGAGTTCCCCTGGACCGAAGAGGAGGTGGCCAAGGTTCTGCGTAAAGTGGCCGAGAGTGGGTGCGCTAAAGGGGGACCTGCACCTGTGTTCTCTCCGGAGGCCGTGAGGCGGCTGTCCGGTCTCCTCCGCAGGGCTCTGATCCGGATCTCCAGAGAGGCGCAGCGGCTCAGCGTCATGCACTGCCGCTGCACACGCTTCGAGGTCCAGAGCGCCATGAGGCTGGTGCTCAGCTGGGCCCTGGCCGACCACTGCGTCTCTGCCACGGTCAAGGCCATCTCCATGTATAGTATGAGTGCCGGGGAGCTGCTGAGGAAGGGCAAGTCCGCCCGCTGCGGCCTCTCCTTCTCCGTGGGACGCTTCTTCCGCTGGATGGTGGATACCCGTATCTCCGTGCGCATCCACGAGTATGCAGCTATATGCCTGACCGCATGCATGGAAGCTCTGGTGGAGGAGATAGGAGCCAGGGTGCTGATGGCCGAGAGGGGTCATTCGGGGCCGGATCTGGGGTCAGCATGCGCCCCACTGAGTGCAGAGGCCCTGGAAGGGGTCGTGAACAATGATGCGGAGCTGTGGGGAGTCCTGCAGCACTATGAGCACCTGATCTGCGGGAAGAACGCCAATGGTAAATACATTTAAGTTTATTCAGTGCACTTAAAACAACAAAATGTCTAGTTGTTCTGTGGGGAAATTGATGCCAATGACTTTCAGTGTATGTTTTTCTGTGTGGTGATGGATGTCAACTTTTTCCTGTCACACACTCTCCTCTCAGAGTGCTGGTCATCACTTTCCACTCCCTCACAGGGTGGAAAAGGTGAACTGTGGCCTGCTGCTGCATACAATAACAGGTCTTTGTGCATGAGCATTTGATGGATCCATTGCTAATTTGACTTGTCAGAATAGGAAAATAACAGTACAGAGGGCATCTGATACGAACAAAGAAAGTATTTTCTCTCTGACCAGGGTCGTACGAGGAGAAATGACTGCTACATTCTGTGTTGAACAAATTAGATTTGAACCACTTCACTCTCATCGGTCGGTTGCAAGATTGAGTCCTCACGTTGCTCCTGTTCTGCTGTTGCGATTTGGGATCCTTTAGAGCACAGGCAGGAGGCTTGTCTGTTGACACAGCTCTCTGTTTACGCTGACTTCACCTCTTATCCTCCCGCTGTGTTGGCTGCACCCCTTCCAAATCCTCCCCTTCCATTTCCTCATCCTCCTCTCCTCCTGCTGGACAAACTCCCATTCACCCACCACCATCTCCACATATCTTACATCACTCTCCCTCCTTTCTCATCCAGCTCCAGCTGTGCATCTTGCTCCTTGTCCATTTGTTTCCTCCACCCTAACATCCCTCCTCAATCAACTCTCGTTCACTTCTTTGCTTGTCAAACCCTAGTAGAGTCATAGCGCTCTTTCTGTGGCTGTTTTGGCAGCCCAGTGTTGAGTTGATTCATGAGCTTGTGTTGGGACAATGTAACCAGCCTTTGTTTGTGGCCCACTACCAGCTCCCTGGAGCAGAGCTTTTTACTGAAGGACAATAGCCTTTTGTAGTGTGATCGTGCAGCTTAGCCCAGCACAGAGGGAGTGAAAACAAATGCTGGGGAAGCTGGGCATACACATCCATGT